TAACGAATTTTAGCTCCAAAGTGTCTCCTAATCTTAATGAGCGATACCTTAAACGACGCCAATTAACGCACCTATACACAAAAAATGTCCTATAATTTTTTTCGACTTTCTGGTTTTTATTCAAATTTCGTAAAAAATACCCCACAAAAATCATCATTTTTGCATTTCAATGCTTTATATTTCCCAACGGTAAGCTGAAATCCAAGTGTTTGACATCAACTTCTAGCTGCGTCTTACTTTTCAAAATAGCAAAGTTCTTTACAACCAGACGTAAGTACTAGGTTATGTGAACAAGCGTTACCTCTGAAAAAAGCTTTATCCAGTTTCTCTTAAAGTTCTGCCTGAAAAAATATCATCAAACCATTTCTAAGCCCCAAACTTTAGAAAAAGTTCGTTTTGTTCCTTGAGGAAAAATCGTGTTGCTAGTGTAATCTTTGCCAACGCTTCAATAGATTTGAGCCAATAATCCATGAACCACTTGCTAAACTTGGCTCTGGTTCACGGATTTGCAGTTGCAACAATGTATTTGGTTTCCAGCTGTTTGTGTTTTATCAATTGGCAGTGGCCATGGCCGCGCTTTTCCGATAAATCAATTCTAGCGGTTTTCTGGGTATTTTAAGTCATTATCCTGTTAAATATCCTTTTAACATAAATTTTTAACTTTAATATGATGTAATGTATTCTGTATTCCTACATACACAGTTTCGCTCAAACCACACTATACTCAACGCCAGGCTAGAAGTCTAGCTTATATGTCTGGGCCCCATAAGGCTCAGCCTTCCATGCCCAAGCTATTTTTTCATGATTTTAAGTGGTAATCGGATTCTGTGAATGCCAAACATAACTTTTGAGTTATCTTACCATATAATACAACTTTACTATCATCAGTCAAAAGCATTTTTGTCTTGTGCCAGGCCATTCCACATGCGATTTTCCAATCTGAAGCGTGACCAGTACTCTCCTCCAAACGCGGAGCTTTCTGGGCTTCTTGCATCAGTAATGTGTAATCAACCGTCTCAAACTGTCACATAACTGACAGAGCGATTAAAAATTTGTTTCTAATTTTTGAGGTATTGAGGCATGGTCTTACCTCGACCACGCCGACCACCTTAAAAATAAGTTTTCGAATACAACGATTTTCATTCTACTCTTATAGTTAATTGGGTTAAATCATACTGGGTGCTACTTGTTTTCAATCCCATTATAACTCCTGCCTTAAGTTTTAGTCTAAACTTGGTATCCTCTTCTGGACCGGTAAGGATTTCTTCAACGCTCCAAAATCAAAAGTACCGCTATGTCCAAAACTTTCTTTCATCAAATTATTCAATACTAAATTGGCTTACGGGTGGTAACTTATTTAAATTAATTTGCTTGGTTTTTCATTCTTTAAATTAGTTTAACCCACCTACTATTTCATTGCAGCAGATATCATGGGTAGTGTCTAAAGTCATGAAACAAGAAGATGGAGCAAGTTCGGGGTTCTTTGGTTTTAATGCTTACATTCCAAGCTTTCCGTAAAGGTATCACTTGTTCAATTTGGGAGTAGAAATATCTCAAAAGAGTTTTGGTAGTGAGGTGCGGCACTACTATTTATTGACACCTGTATGTACTAAAATGGTTTAAAAAAGGTTTACTTCGATTTACTACAAAAAATAGCGGCCACGCGTATGAGCCCGCAACATGGGTTCATTTCGCGGCGCATTGTTCGAAATAAAACGAGAAGGACGGTGAGCGTTCACGACCTACTACCCGTACTCAGTCAGTATATACATTTTTGGCTTATGTTTTTTATTTGGTTTTACATTTTACATTTTACATTTTTTTGTATATCTGATATCTACATCTACATATACAATGTCTATTTACATACATGTAGATTGTACATGTCCATCATATTCTACACTCCCGCTAGGGGTTGCCGCGTACTGAACGCGGCAGAGGTGCGAGCGAGAAGGAAAATGAGTTGCGTTGTTGTGGGAGGAGGGGGCGGGGGCAACAGTTATTTTTTCATTCTGGCTATAATTATGACCGTCTGATTCAGATCGCAGTCTGGTGATGGCCCTACGTCTGCGTATACGACTTTAATTGTGGCTGCCACAGATTTTCGACCTTTGTGGGGACGGAAGGGGGCGGGGCGAAATTTTAAAATATCTGGAAACAAAATTTGGTTCCTCTAGCTTTTATAGTCTCTGAGATCCAGGCCTCAGATCTCAGGTCTGCCGTCAGAGCTCTGTAATTCCAGCCTTTTTTCATTGTCCGGATGGTTATTATATTATAATTGTTCTAAGTCTAATTTGATAAGTTTCAGCTAACTCTCATGTATTTTTTTATTTGTAAAATTTAATAAACTAATTAAATCAAATTATCCTCAGTGCGTTTGCCAGCATTGCAAAATCATCAATAAAAAAACGGGACTTGAACCGAAGCAACTTTTAAGGAATGGACCAAGGAGTCTAGAGAGTACACAACGGTCGCGAATTTTCTGACCCGTTAGTTTTTCTGAGGTATTCTATCAAGCAGTGTTTGCATTATAATAAACTAATTAAATCAAATTATCCTCAGTGCGTTTGCCAACTGCAAATCATCAATAAAAAAGGGACTTGAACCGAAGCAACTTTTAGCAGGAATGAGACCGGAGTTGAAAAGATACACAACGGTCGTTTCGAATTTTCTGACCCGTTAGTTTTTCTGAGGTATTCTATCAAGCAGGTTTGCTTTGCTTTTGCAGCGTCAAATGCCGTTTTTGGTTTCTTCATTTCTTTTACGTTTTGTTGGATTCGTAATTTTTTTTTGTCATACCTATAGCCAATACATATCTATATAATAATTAATTAACAACATTTTTCCAAAAAATGCCTGCATTTATATTTTTAATGCTAAAGTTGAAATTGTCTGTCTTATTTCATTTTGCAAACAATTAGTTGACATACTGTATATAAAATTACATACATAAATATGTACATAAATATGTATATAGAACTGTCTGATCAGCGGAAGACATTACTCCTTTTATTGGTAGCTAAATGTGCTGGCAAAAGGACTTTTGTGAAATTGCAGCAATAGAAATGCCATTGGAAATGTATTGCAGCAACAGTTGTTGATCCAGCAGAGTGGTGACAGTTTCTCTGATCTACGACGACTCGATCTCAATTTTATCCAACTCCCCGCAATGTACTGTTATGGTTACTGCTGCTGTGCATGTCCGTCCGTCCGCAAGTGCAAGCAGCACAGCTACATCCAAAAAGAAACCGTTCTAAATATGTGCACGAGAGGGACAGCGACTTAAATGATTCACATACGAGTGCACATACATACATATGTATGTACGTATGTATGTACATATGTAACTTGAGAGCTGGCTGCACGCTCTCACTCTTCCGCTAGACACATTTACAGTTCTGCCTGGCATTGCCTCACCCTCTCTCGCTCTGGCTCCCAGCGAAAGCAGCAACGAAAACCAAATCAAAAAGAGAAAAAAAAAAGTGCCAGCGTAGAAGCGCGCTGGGGGTGGGGTGAGGAGGGGGAAAGAAAGAACAAAAAGTAGGTGAAAGGTCTTCAACCTTTTTGCATGAAAACAAAAATGTTCAAAGCGGCAGCAGCGGCAGCGGGAGTGGTGCTGGCATCAGATGAACTGGCGGGGAGGTGGTGGGGAAAGCATTTGCAGTTCTAGCTGAAAACGGAAAAAGAGGGAAAACACAGAGAGAGAGAGAGAGAGAGAGAGAGGTAGATAGAAAAGGAAAACAACAAAAAAAACAACTCAAGCTGCAAGAAAGGCAATCAAATGTGAAGCAAAAGTGATAGAGCGCAGAAGGAAGAGGAAAAGGAGGAGCAGGTGGTGGGTGAGGTGGTGGTGGTGGGCAAGTGACCGACAGACCGACCGAGCGAGCCACTGCATTCAGCTATTTTTAGCTTCACCAGCCACACACAACACACACACGCATACATACATATGCAGGCATGTATGTGTGTACACACAGGCACAGCCTGGACTTGGACCTATCCCAATGGCCCAACACTGTGGGGCAGGTTCGGTCGAGCGGCGACAAAACAGATGCGCCAAAGTTTTTATTGCAATGCTTTTGCACTTTTATTTTTGCACTGAGAGAGCTTTTGCACACAGAGAACGAGCGAGCGAGCGAGTCAAAGAGAGAACGAGTGAGCTTGGACATGAATGCAGCCTAGCTATGCTTCCTACCCGCCCGCCCCTGCCCGTTGCTTGTGTTTTTGCTAATGCTTTTCTTTTCTCAACTTTGTCCCTCACCGCGACCCTCAAAAGCTTTTCTCTCAGCCAGACATAGACATTGATTTCGACTGCCTGCGCTGCGCCGCCTTGTGGGGTGGTGTGGCTGTAGGAGGGGAGGGTGTACGGCGGGGGTATTTGGTTCGGGATATGTTGAGGTAGGACCAGGCTTCGTTCTATAGGATGGGTCTGTTCTATAGAGTGAAAACAAAAAAAGCCGGAAGAGGAATACAGAATGCTGAATGCAGTTACAGTGAAAGCACTTCTGGCAGACAGCTGCTTGTCGTGGCACTTTCTCCAGGTCAGCTAAATGCTTTAGAACTATGTAATTGAAAGGAACGAACCTTTTTTGTTTAGGGGAATTATGTAGCAAGCTTTCACCGTAGAAGCCAGAAAATCGCCGACTTACCAGAGCTGTGTAATTCGATAGAGACGTCCTTGGGTGGTCCCATATCCTGGCTGATTTAATTTAATTTAATTTAAATTTAATTCTACAATTATCAGATTTGTATGTGCTAAGATCTCGATTTTATTTATCATTAACATTTAAGTGCACATCTTGCAGTGTACATAAATATGTACATAAATATGTAAGTGATCCCTGTACTGTATGTACTGTACCATAAAGCAGTGGTGTTGGTGCCCAGTGCCCTGAAACTTCCCCCGCCATTTCCGTACTCACACCGACATTACCGCTACTTTCCCATTTTCGTTACATAATTATTCATCGCCAATGCCTTTTTCTTCCCTCTCGTTGCAGTCATATTCATTCGAGTGAAAAGCCAGACGTCGCCTCCTCCTCGCGGTTGTCGTCGTCGTCAACATTTTTTGCATCCTCTGCCGCCTTGGTTCACCCGGTAAGTGTCAAGATTTTTCCACCGTACCGCCGCAGATCGGCAAAAGTAGTTGCCCCCAGGGCATCCCATCCCACTGCAAAGTAGCTATTATTTTGTGCCGACTTGTGCACTTGAATTCAATATTGATGCAGGCTGTCCTGTGCCTGGCTAGGGTCGGCCGATCAGTAATGTCCTTGCGCAAATTGCAGATTATTAATTTTATGGGCTGATCCTGATTTTGATTTTTGATTAGGCCTGGGCCATTCATCGATTTTGGGGAGCCAGTTAGAGACCTTCTTTGGCTTACATTCTTGTAGTAGGTCGATGTTTTGGAACTCCATCTGCGGCACCAACTATTGGTGAACTGAATTGTATTTTCATTAAACCAATTAACAATTTATTTCCATTGAAATACCATGACATAAGAAATATATACACTCATATATTATGAAACTCTGATATAGCTCAATGAGAAGAGGATTGTTCAGTGTACATATCTTACACCACTTCCCCCCAGTTGCAGCAGCGAATCTGGTCACATTTTCAAGTTTCTGCGCTCAGCTGGTCATACTATCGCTTCCCCATCCCATCCCATCCCATCCATCTCATCCCATCCCATCCATCCATCCATCCATCGACTTCATGGCAAAAACAACTTAAACGTCGACTTGACTGCGAAAGGGGGTGGGTGATTGGGGTAGGGGGGGGTGTCTAGGAGAGTGGGGAAAAGCAACAACCAGAAAAATCCAAAGCCGAAATAGAAGCAATGCAAAAGAAAAAGGAAAAAAAATGCCCCCGTGTGTGTGTGTGTGTGTGTGTGTGCGAGTGAGTGAAAAAAAACTGTGCCAATGCCCTGACAACGGCACAAGGTGATGATGCAAACTGCAGCCGGCTGCAGTCGCCGTTGCCGTTGCCGTCGTCTCGGTCGCTTCGCAGTCGCTGCCAGCAGTCGTTGCAGTCGCCGTCGTAGTCAGTCAGGCAGGCAGTGACGCCAATTGCCGTGATGAAAGAGCCAGTGGCACAGTAGTCGAAATGTGCAAGGGGGGTAGGTGGGAGGGAGGTGGTGGTGGTGGTGGCGGTGCTGCCGCCAGCTGGCTGGCTGGGGTAACGATGCGTTGGCGAACATGCAATGACGTGAATGACATACATACATACATGTACATCTATGTATGCATGTACATATGTATGTATGTATAGTATGTATGTAATAAACGACTAACGCAAGCAGTTGCATGCCAGGTTGGGGTGGATCGTGGGGGGTTGGGGCAGTGTGTGTGCGCACCAGGAAGGCCGGGCCATGTCGAGGTCGGGCAGAGAAGGGAGGGGGGTCGACGTGTGTGTGTGTGTGTGGGTATGTCTGTGTGTGGGGGGTTGCAGTCGAAAGGGTGGGTGGGACGGTTGGATCGGGTGGTAAGCTGGCATTTGGCCGTTTGTTGTTGTTGTTGTTGTTGTTGTTGTTGGTGTTGGTGTACGTGTATGTTGCATGCAAACAAGGAAGTACAACAATTTCACGCTTTGCAATTGAAATTGCAGCCAAAGCCAAGATTGTGCATGATGATGGGGGGGATGGGTGAAAGCAGTGCTGAAAGAGAGAGTGTGTGAGGGTAAGGGGAGTGCTATTAGGCCCCACTAAGTGAGGTGGATGGACACAGTGGGAAGTGCATTTGACTGGCACCAATCCACTCCACTCCACTCCCTGCACCCCAAACAGTTCCCACAAAGTTCCCCTCACTCCACACGACTTCTCTTCTACACTTCCTTCCCTTTTCCTGGCCCCCCTCCCCTCCTTCTTTTCAGCTCCTTCAACATTGACTTATGTAATGGAAAGTGTGGCAAACAAAATAATCATACAAATAGTCCTGTACTCTTTGAGTACCGCTTATAAGAAACGAAATCCACTTTGCCTTGGCTATTTCCGAATCTATTTACTTTTTGTTTGCTTGCTTCTGGTTCCATATTTAAATTAACCCATTTCTAATCAAAAACATATTCAGGAACACCTTTAACGCAAAACTTGTACATGTTTACACATGTTTGCCTACATATGAGCGTATATGAGAGAGGGTATCAGGGCAGTACACATGTATGTATGTTATTTTGGCAGCAAACTCGAACAATTTAATTTTAAAAGGATTACTTTGGGGTATTGGCATAAGCCATAAACTTCGTTTTGGAAAAGCATATCGTACCCGATTAGCAATGAAAATAATCAAAGAGGAGTCTTCCAGTGCAACCCTGCTATAGAACTATAGAACCCACACTATATTCGTCTCCCCACCTGTATGCCAAACGTCGCGGGGAAACACAAAACGGTCATAATCATAATCCATTCTTTCCAAGCGAAGTACAAAAAACACCAAATGGATTCATTATGTTTATTTGGCTTATCACCTTGATTATGCCAGCAAAAGGGTACAGCCAAAGTTAATGGCCAAGGGGTATTCTCTGGTCGTGGCTTTGCCTGCTGCTGCCTGCACCGCTTTCCCGCCCCGCCACCTATCCACACGTTTGTCTAGTTCAATTTTTTTTTTTGCCCATTTGCCCATTTTCCCGTTTTTTTTTTTGTTTTTTTTTGTTTTTGTTACTGTGTGTTTTCTGTTTTGTGTTGGATTTTCTCATGGTCTGCATTTGTGATTCGATTTGATTCGGTTCGTGGCGACTCGCCGCCGCGCCTCGCCACGCCTCGGAGGGCGGCAATTGCCAACAGCCGCCATTGACTCGTTGACTCACTAAGACTCTCTCACACGCACTGGCCTGTGCTGCATTGGTGTAAGCTTTTTTCTGTTGCTGCTGCTGCTGCTTTGTATTGCATTTTTCAGCGAAATCGAAAGTTCAATAAACTTTCACGTAATCGCAAGTAAAAAAAAAAAAAAAAAACTATGCACATACTTATTTGCATGAGGGGTTGGGGGGTGGGGTGACAATGCAAGAGGTGTTTTGGACGTGTTTTATACTCTCCCTCGTTCTGCTAGAAGCTTACGCACTCAGCATAAGTGTTGGGAAAAAATATCATTTGCATCTGGTTTAAAATCTTTTTATGAATAATATTAATATTTCCACATTTAATGGATAGCCCTGGTACCATACCAAACTGTAAAAGCTCGCACCCTGGCTACCGTTCCTGATCTCTCGCTTTTCTGGTCTCCTTTGCTCTTCCTGGCTATAGGCTCTCTCTCTACCCCTCTCTCTCTCTCTCTCTCTCTCTCTGTTTTGCTCATTAGATCTTCAATGGTTGTGCTGTGGGATAACTGTTCAATTCGATCCCACTTTCCCACCATCTCGCTCTGTCTCTCTCCCTCTCTCTCTATCAGCTAGCTCTATTTCGTGCTTTTGCTGGCTGGCAAAGAAAGTGAATGGAAAAAGGGCAAGTACAAAACCAGACAGACGGAAACCAACAACAACAACAACCAAAAAAGAAATGAAAGGAAATTACATAAAAGTAACAACGAACTCTTTGCGCATGAACAAATCCCGTAACAACGACAACAACAACAGCAGCAACAACCGCATGGAATGTCAATCAAGAGTTATAAAAATAAAAACAACAACAACAACAACCACTGCAACTCTGCGACAACAACAACAACTCTAGTTAGAAGCAATCAAAGGGGAAGAGCCAGAGAGCAGAGAGCTAGAGAGAGAGAGAGAGAGATCACTCACTGAACTTGCATGGGCTTCGCTGCTTCTCTGCTTCTCTGCTCCTCTGCTGCTCTGCTTTATGCTCGACACGTTCTGCTCAGCTGCCTAAGCTCGTCGCGCCGTCTCCCTCTGGCTCTGGCTTTCACAACACACGATGATTCCCGTTCGCTTTGATGGAGAGACGCCGACTCCACTCTCCACACACTACTACTCCACTCCACTCTCCACACTGCGCGCTCTCTTTCCGCGCTGTGTGACTGAAATTGGGTCAGCCATTGAACCCGTTGCGACGACGCTGCTGCGACGCTGGCTTCGTTGGCGTCGATGCCGCCGTCGCTGCCGCTGCTAGCGTTCGTTCTGTGTGTGTTCGTTCTCTCTGTCCCCCAAAGGGGCGGTGGATAAGGGGGAGTCATCTGCTGCTGCTGCTGCTGTTGCTTCTTCTGTGGTTCTTCTGCTTTATCTTATATTTGACTGCAACTGGATAAGTACTGGGAGAGAGGGCTTACCTGAGCAGCGGCCGCAGATTCATTATCACAGCGATCAACCTCTCTCAACACCCCACCTCTGCTTGGGGCAATCTTAAGGTTATGGTCACTCGTAAAGAGCGTCATTCGGCTTTGACCCAAGCCCAACCCCCCCCCCCCCCATTCCCTGTCCCTGCCACACCAAAAATAGTGTAAACTAAGCTCCGGACAAAAAAAAAGAAGAAGAAACAAAAACAACTACAAAAAAATAAATGGAAAAATTTCACTTTCACATCAATTACGACGACGATTCGGGGCTCTGTTGGCGTTTTTTGTTGTTGTTGTTTTTTTAGTACTGTACTTGAAAAAAACCCCCCCAAAGTACAGTTATGCTGCACGTACACACATATGTACATACGTATGTATGAAGAGTGACCGAAGAGTGGCGGAGAGTGGCGGAGAGTGTGTCCAATATTAAAGGCGAAATTTGTCACATGCATAGATGGTGCATAGACAGTTCCGGTACTTCTGAGAGTATAAATGTTTAAAGGAAACCCATCCATAGATAGTATTTATTGCCTGCAAATCCATTCCAATATTAATTTGCTGGCATTGTCGTGTATTACTTAGAATTGGGTTTTATCATGCATTACGCAGTTCCCTTTTAGCAGCCCCCTGAACTCAAGTCAAAGATCCCACACTTCTCGAGTGAACCCCCCCGCTATCGTGTATGGGGTGGGTGGGTATTCATTTTATTCCGTTTGGGAAACCTGTCTGCAATTGCATGCCACAATTCGTGGCGATCTCTGTCTCATCTTTATTTTGAAACAGTTTTTGGTTCTGTTAAGTTTGGCTGTCTTTTTATTTTCGGTTTGACCATCGTTCGAAGTCAATGAACGCTTAATGGGCAACAAACAT